TCGTCCTCCTCCTCCTCCTCCTCCTCCTCTTCGCCCTCGTCCTCCTCGTCCTCGTCCTCCTTGTCCTCCTGCCGCCATCCTCGTACTCGTCCTCGTCGTCGTCGTGCTTTCCAGCCAAAGTCCTCCAGGGAAGCATTGGGCGCCGTGACGTCTATAGACGCAGTGGGGGGAAGACACGTCTATGGGCAGCTCGACCGCTGCGCTCGGCGCAGCACAGGGTCGGAGAACAGGGCAGCTCCGTCCACGCTGTGCGCTCCTGCCCTGGAGCAGGCCCCCCAGGGGCCTCGCACCCCCCCGCTTGGACGAGGCTCCGAGGCCCCTGGGGGGCTCTCTGGAAGACCCCCTCCCCCAAATCTTCCTTCTTGGAACCCTCCGGCATGGTGCCCCAAGCCCGGGGGTGCCAGCGCAGGGGCGCCCGCACGCGACGCCACGTAGCGGCCTCGGTGCGCTGGGCGCTGCCGCGCGCGCGCACCCCGCCCGTCGCCGGCCTCCTGCGCAGGCAGGGGGCGGGGCGGGAGGGCGCGGCTCGCGGCGAGGCGCAGGGCGGAGCGCGAGGGAGAAGAAGAGGGCAGGAGTTCTGATGCTCCAGCCTAATTTGGCCTTGATGCTATGATGTTCCAAGCTCCTCCTCCCTCCTCCTCCTCCTCCTCCTCCTCCTCCTGCTCCTCCTCCTCCTCCTCCTCCTCTTCCTCCTCCTGCTCCTCCTCCTCCTCCTCCTCCTCCTCCTCCTCCTCCTCCTGATGCTCTCCGCGGGCTGCCGGCTGCCATGAGCGAGGACCCCAGGCGGTGCGGTTCAGGAGAGCAAGAGGGCTCGATGGAACGCAATAATTATGATGTTCCAACCTACTTTAGCCTCCATCGCCAGGAAGCATTTCGAGCACCACAACAGGCACCGAAGCTCGAGGGTTTTCACGTGCCGGGCCCCGGGAAACATTCGCCCGACACATGTTCGACACTGTTTCGACACTTATCCGGGTGCTCGAGATTATTTCTGGGATGTGGTCCTTAAGTACGATGGGAGCAACTTAAGGCAGGAGGAGGAGGAGGAGGAGGAGGAGGAGCATGGGGGAGCGAGGAGGAGGGGCAGCCGCGACGCCTCCCTCGCCTGTTTGCCCGACGTTGGCTCTGACTCGGTCTCAGAGCGTCCCTGAGTTCTCTTGGACAGCACCTGTCATGAGTGTTGGTCTTTACTCAGGGTTGTGGCGCCGACCACCCTGAAGAGTTTCTTGGCAGGCGCGCCGATGCCCAAAATGAGGAGGAGCAGGAAACGCGAAGACCCCATCCCCTCTTCAAGCGCTGTCTTGGGACTTTTGGGGGTTGAGACGAGCATGCGGAGGGGACAGCCGAACATTTCACATGCCTCGTCGCCCTCCCGCGAGCGGAGTTTGGTGGTGGACTGGCGTGGTGTTGTAAGGGACGTGCTCTTCGTCGTTATCAAAACGTAGTTGCTGCTGCCGCATTTGCGCCAGACCTTCAGCGCATAGAATAACACCACCACCAACAACAACACCAACAACAACAATCAGGTTAAGACTGTTCGCTCCGACCTGCTCACGTGCCAATCAATACGTATATCCCAAGCCCTCGATACCCGCCCCGCCCTCGTCGTCTTCGATCGTACCCCTTTGGGGGTATATCTGTCTTGCCTGCCACGTGCATTTAGTACAGCCCCTAAAAAGGGAAGAGAGGACGGGTGGAAGGGGGAGGGATAATAATGGAGCACGAGAGGAATTAGCAGTAGGGGGGCAAGGAGTAGAAAACAAGTGGTAGAACCAGACGGGCACATCGGGTGGGCAGACCCATAGCGGGCAAGTCGGGAAGGCGGGCACAGGCGACGAGGTCGAGCAGGCGGGTTGTTGAAGTTGTTGGGTCATGCATGAATCGCGAGGCATTCTCGAGCGATAGCGCGATTCCCAAGTAAATCGTGAGAAAAGTCAAGGCGAGAGCGTGATTCCTGAGCACCGAGGGCGCATCGTCTGAATAAGTTGCGAGGAATTCCCACGCGAGAGCGCGATGCGTACATGAATTGTGAGGGAAGTCCCGCGCGAGAGCGTGACTTGGGAATAAACCGTAAAGAAGTATCATGCGGGGGTCGCTGTTATTGTAAACTGGGGGCCAGGAGCCCAGTTTGAGCCCCGTGCCTTGCCCTGATACTTACCCTGCGACGTACCCAACCCACGTGCATCAAATGGCAAGAGGAGTATGCCAACATTAGCAGGAACAACGACAGTGTAGACGCGGCGATGTGCTGTGCAAGCTACATGGGATGCGCATGCGTTGCACGATTCACAGGACGACGATCGAAAGAACGAGGCTTGAGGCCCCAGGATCGAAGAAGAACGGGTACGGGAACGAGGGGTAGGAGAGGGATGGAATGGAGGGCGGGGGGGGCGAAAGGCCATCGCGGAAGCAGCAGCATGCATGGAGAAGGTGAGGCGGGGAATAGGACGACGATGAAAGTGGCGGGAGGAGACAGAAGACTGCCGCGTTTTTCAAGTGCGAGCTAAACCCGCAGCGCTGCCTGCGCCATGTCGTCGCAGAGTTCCACATGATAAAACTTGTTTAGAGTGCAAGGAACGAGCGAGGCGTAGCTCGCCCGCTAGCTTCTCCGCCTCCTTCCCGCACATTTCAGCGCGGGAGCTGAACGCTCGCAGGCGCGCCGCCAGGTCTGCGGGCGGCCCGCGGGAAAGAAACTCAAGGCCGGGGTCGCGTATCATCAATCGGTTGTCCATCGTCCAAAGTTGCACTGGCGACGTACTGGTTGAACGCGGAGCGAGCAGCATCACGCGCGTGCCTGAACGCCACGCAGGTACAGTACACGCGCGATTGGGACTTCAGGTCCATCACGCGCGTCTCCACCAGGCTTGGCAACACCACGCGACTGAGGATCTCACTGCGGTCTGCCATGCTGCTGTCCGCGAATGCAATGCGCTGCCTGCAAGTAAGGCGGCGGCGTCCACTTGTCTCAGAAGATGTTCCCGCGGGCCCGAAGGGCGACCGCCAGCTCGAGCCGCGGCGCCGGCAGGCCAGATAAGGATCATGCAACAGCAAAGACGATGACAGAGCAACGAGGTATCGGCGAGTGCATGACCGGCCTCCGTTTCCTGCACTTCTTTCTTGTAGTTCCCCTAGCTCATCGAGCTCAGCAGATGTTTCTGCGGGTCCAAAGGACGACCGCCAGCGCGAGTCGCAGCGTCGACGAGCTGCATCCACATCAGGCAACACCCCAGGAGACACTGGCACACAACGATTTGACGTCAGTCAGTGCCAGACCACTCCATGTCTAGTTCCTCGCACACATACAGTCGATCGCAGATGCGGGATAATCGAAGTAGAATGACGGGTCCAATCTGCGTCCGCGTAGGACGTCACTATGCTGGACCCCGCAGCAGGTCTCGAAAGTGGCGACAGTTTCATGGGCCCCACAGCAGCCCTCGAAAGTGGCGACAGTTTCACAGATCGTAGCCCCCCAGCGCTGGCGAGGTCTAATCTGAGTCCCCGTAGGACGTCACTCCGCTGGCCCCCCAGCAGCCTTCGAAAGTGGCGACAGTTTCACAGATCGCAGCCCCCCAGGGATGGCGAGGTCTAATCTGTATCCCCGTAGGGCGTCACTCCGCTGGGCCCCCCGCGCAGCCTTCGAAAGTGGCGACAGTTTCACAGATCGCAGCCCCCCAGGGATGGCGAGGTCTAATCTGAATCCCCGTAGGGCGTCACTCCGCTGGGCCCCCCAGCAGCCCTCGAAAGTGGCGACAGTTTCACAGATCGCAGCCCCCCAGGGATGGCGAGGTCTAATCTGAATCCCCGTAGGGCGTCACTCCGCTGGGCCCCCCAGCAGCCTCGAAAGTGGCGACAGTTTCACAGATCGCAGCCCCCCAGGGATGGCGAGGTCTAATTTGAATCCCCGTAGGGCGTCACTCCGCTGGGCCCCCCAGCAGCCTCGAAAGTGGCGACAGTTTCACAGATCGCAGCCCCCCAGGGATGGCGAGGTCTAATCTGAATCCCCGTAGGGCGTCACTCCGCTGGGCCCCCCACGCAGCCTTCGAAAGTGGCGACAGTTTCACAGATCGCAACCCCCCAGGGATGGCGAGGTCTAATCTGAATCCCCGTAGGGCGTCACTCCGCTGGGCCCCCCAGCAGGCCTCGAAAGTGGCGACAGTTTCACAGATCGCAGCCCCCCAGGGATGGCGAGGTCTAATCTGAATCCCCGTAGGGCGTCACTCCGCTGGGCCCCCCAGCAGCCCTCGAAAGTGACGACAGTTTCGCAGATCGCAGCCCCACCAGGGATGGCGGGAGGAGGCGGGAAGGAAGGAAGGAAGGAAGGAAGGAAGGAAGGAAGGAAGGAAGGAAGGTGGAGACCGCAGTGCTCTATTCAAAACGAGTACCCAACGCAGGAGGGTTGGGAAAAAAAACAGGGTGCGAGCCCCGGGGGAAGCACCTCAATTGAAAAGACACAATGGTCACCAGAGGGGGGGATCAACAGTAATAATTGTTCAGTAATGAGAGTTCAACGACAACAACAACAAATGCAGAAGTTGTTCTGGGACCTTGTCGGCCGCTGCGGGGGCCCCAGCCGGAGCCCTGGGGATCGTCAGCAAGACCGGCCCGGGGGAAGGATCGGGGCATTTGGGGGGCCCATGTTGAAAAACAGGGCGTAGGATTTCTGGCGTCATTGCGACCTTCAATCGGATTTCCTGCCTCGTCCCTTTCCAGTGCACTTGTGGGAGGCAGCCCAGAGCTACGAGTGCATGCCGCAATCTCCATTGACCTGGTCAGCTCCTTGGTGAAATTGTGCATGTGTATGTGTGTTGGTTATGTTATTTCTTTTTGATGTCTCTCCCTCACTCTATTGTTCTCCCTCTCTCTGTGCATACATGGATTCACATACACAACTCTCTTGTCCTATCTGTGTCTGTCGAAGATGACTGCGCTACGTGTGCGCCGTATGCGTTGGAGCTGGTCTTCATTCCGTCACTGTGCCTCCCCCTCCCAACGCGTTGGAGGCATCATTATCTGCCCAAGGGAAGAGGCGTTACGACAAGAAGCAGGACTGTGTGCTTCAAGCTTCCTGTGCAGTCTATGTGAAACGCTTGCAGCTTCCACCACATGTCAACTCTTACGCTCTCTCGCAAAGCAGCAAGCGCCTTTGGATTTGCTGGCATGGTATGCTAGCAATTATGTTTGAGTGCTTTCCGTTTGAGAATGAGTGCGTTAGGGAAGCGACTTGCGATTGATCGGGTTCTGCCAGACAGGATACCCCCACGGTCTCCAGAGCACCCCTCACGAGGCTCAGAGGGAGCAAGGGCCTCCAACATGGAGCAGGAGGGTCGGGACACCGTAGGCCAGGGAGACCTTCAGCAGCACCCGAGTTGAGCACGACCAGTCGTGAGAAGCTCACCTGCGCACAGGAAAGCCGCACGGGAGTGGTGCAGCATGTCCAGTACAGTCGAAGCAGGTGATAAAGGACGGGTAACCTCCCCAAGAGCGCCCTTGCAGCCTTGCCTCTTCAGCCCTTGGGTCCATCCTCAGCCATTTTCGATGGCCCGCCCCGCTCGAAGAGCTTCGACATGGGCGTCCAGGGGGCTTGCAGTCTTATCGCTTATCGCGCATCCTTGCTATGCGAGTTGGCTGTATACTGGAGTCGCGAGGCTCCCGCTGCGGATAGTGGCCTGCGGAGGAGCTGTGCGGGGAGAGCCCGTGGCGCGCAGTCGGCGTCGAAGCCAGGGGTGTGTCCCCTAAGAAGGCAGGGGGGCTTCTTTCGAGTAGGAGATCGACTTACCCCAGAATAGTTTTCCCGTCAAGTAGATCAGAAGACGTAGCATGTTCGTAGAGCCACGAGCCTTCTACGTATTTGTTCGCTGATTCGGCAAAAAACAATTCGGGGCAAATCAATGCCTCCTCCTCGAGTCTTGGACGCTCTCACGGCTTCCAAGAGGTCCGCTTGGAAGCTTCAGGGCCTTTCAGGCTTCCGGCGTTCCGAGCCTCCGGGCGTTACGGCGCCTTGAACAGAGAGCACACGGCGCGTTTTATCTTGAACCTTCGGCGCCTGGGGGTCTTGCCTGGACGTAACGTTCTGCGCAGTGGTGGAACCAAACAGCGAGGCCGAACTCCGCAACGCAGGATTCACTTCTCCACCGCGGGTGTCTCTACTGACCTTGTCCTCGCGCGCGCGGCTCCGCTGGGACTGCACCAGGCACTAGGCTTAAGTCGGGCCTGTCCCTCTACAGGAGGAATATGCGAAAATGGTCAAACAATAGTCTGGGACATGTTTTGGAGCAGTGTTTGGCCCACCTTGAACTTGTTTTGGCTATCTTGTATTTGTCGTCCAAAATCTCCCTGTAGGAGGACATGCCCGACCTAACACTAGGCGGCTGTTCGAACACGTGGCCAAGCTGATTTGGGGGCCCGTGGTCGCAGGCGAACGGCGTCAGCGGGCCCTAACACGTCTGGAGCGGCGTCTTGGGCCCGTCCCACATAGCGAGCGGCTCGGGACGAAGGGCTGGCCCCGCGGAAGGGGTCGGGGCCTCAGGGGTCGGGAGCCTCGAGACGGGGGTCAATGCAAACGGGGGTCAGCCAGAGCGCCCGATCTTGCAGGATCTTGCAGGGGCCAGGGTCGCATTGACCCGGGCTTGGGTGCAGGATCCTGCAAGATCTTGCAGGATCCTTCGCGCTGGCCCGGGCTTGGGTGCATGATCTTATAGATCGGATTTTGCAAGGCCTGACTGACCCGGGTCTGGACTCACCAGGGTCAGAAGATCCCCGAGAGGAGGAGGAGGAGGAGGAGGAGGAGGAGGAGGAGGAGGAGGAGGAGGAGGAGGAGGAAGAGGAGGAGGAGGAGGAGGAGGAAAAAGAGGAGGAGGAAGAGGAGGAGGAGGGGGAGGAGGAGGAGGAGGAGGAAAGGGACCGCGCACTGAGATTGGCATCGCGGCACGCGAGGGGCACGTCTGGGGATCGGCCCCTCCGCTTCGCACCCACCCGGAGCCCGCAAAGAAGGGAGCACACAGCAGGCGCGCTCGGCAACGTGCAAGGATATGGCCCCCCCTTGTCCGCGAGGCCAGCCTCGTGTTAAGTCAGGCTTGTCCCTCTACAGAGGGACCATTCAAAAATAGGCAAAAATAGTATAGGGACGATTTTTTGGAGTATATGTGTTCAGATTCATGTTTGAATATTTTTGAGTATTTTTGATTTGTCGTCGAAACTCCGCCTGTGGCCAGCCTCGTGTTAAGTCAGGCCTTTCCCTCTACAAGAGGAGCATTCAAAATCGTATTGACAATAGTCAGGGTACGCTTTGTTTAATATCGTTTGGCCCTTTGGGTGCATTAAAACATATGTCTAAAATACCTCTCGTGCCTCGAACGTTTCCGCAATGCATGCTGTCGAAATCCACGGAAATGCATGTACACGCGTGTATGTTTCTCTCCTGGCGAACCCGGAGGGTAAGACGATGACCATGACCAACACTACGTGGAGACGTCGTTGCCGATCTTGGTCACCGTCCGTCTTGGCCACTGTCGAGTAGTGGCTCATCCTCGCAAATCTGCGACGGCCAGCATGGACCATGCCATGGCCAAGATCGGCGTCGACAATATCCCGCGACATTCTGGTCATGGCCAGCGTGTTTCTTCCCTCGACACAAGATACCAAAGAGCACCAAATGGTCAGCTCCGCAAGCGAGGGCAGGCCTTGGCAGCGAAGGGTCCACGCCGCCGCACCCAGGGCTTCCCTGGAGTCGGCAGGATGACCTCCAGGAAAGCACTGTGCGCTGGCCGAGGTTTCGGTCGATCGCCACGATGCTGGGAAGGCTGATGTCGACGTTTGTAGGGGGGCCCGCCGATTTAAACCAGATGTTGAACTCTTGTAGACTCAGGCGAACTTTACTCGCATGGCATTTCTCCCCCCCTCTGCCCCTCCGCCGCCTCTTCAAACAGCGCTGTGCCGAAGGCGCGCAGGAGAGCCTCGACTCGCGTGAGCTCCTGATCTCCTCTCGGGCATCCCTACGCCCTCCTCCCCCCCATGAACGCAGGCGTGCCAGAGTCTGGAGCAAGCATTTTTTTTATGGGGCCCTGCGGGGCCTAAACCCCGGCATTCCACAAGAAGGCGCGCGCGCGCACACCCCGCGCCGGCGGTGCGGCCCGTCTCGTACAGTCCAAACCGATGATGAGGTCCTCTTCCTCCTCGTCCTGCTCCTCCTCCTCCTCCACCTCCTCCTCCTCCTCCTCCTCTCCTCCTCCTCCTCCCCCCCCCCCCTCCCCTCCTCCTCCTCCTCCTCCTCCTCCTCCTCCTCCTCCTCCTGCTCCTCCTCCTCCCCCCCTCCTCCTCCTCCTCCTCCCTTCCCAAGGGTACCCTTGCATCCTTGCCTCTTCAGCCTGTCGGGTCATCCTCAGCCACCTTCTTCGGTGGCCAGCCCCGCTCGGATAGCATTCCCTGCCCTCGCCCCACTCGGACGCCGATCAGCGTGAGGTTAGGTCTGCGTGCGCATCACGTTCGGTGCCGTCGGAGGAGCTGGGGGGGGGGAGACAGCCCGGCCATGACAGGGAGTAGTTGTTGTCCTGACTCTCTGGGTGACCCCTCCGCCTCCTCCCCTCCTCATCCTCTCCTCCTCCTCCTCCTCCTCCCCTCCTCCTCCTCCTCCTCCTCCTCCTCCCTCCTCCCTCCTCCTCCCTCCTCCTCCTCCTCCTCCTCCTCCTCCTCCTCCTCTTCCTCCTCCTCCTAGCCCCTTTCGGCCCCTGGGTGCCCAGGAGGGGGGGTCGCTCGCGAGCGCACTTGAAAGGGGCGCAGCTCGCGAGAGCCAGGAGCCTCCATGTCATGGCGAAGCAGCCCGGCTGCAGACGGCGCCCCATGGAGGCAATCGAGCTGGAGGTCGAGGACTACGAGGGCATCTACCTCTGGTGGCACGGACGCGAGGGTCCTCGACATGGTGGAGGCAGCCACGGCCGCAGCTGTCTCAGCGGCGGTGGCTGCGGCGGTGGTGGCGAGTCGCAGGTGCTCCAGTACTACGACGTGCTGAAAAGCAAGGGGTTCCGGTACATGGGCCGCTCCGTCGCGGAGTGGCATGACATCGGCGATGATGGGGAGGATTTCAAGGAGGAGTACACCAAGAAGGAGGAGATGTGGTCCGAGCCGGTCGCCCTCAATCGCTAGACTTTCGCGACGGAGGCCAGGGTGCGCGAGCTCAGGATGGCGCAGTGGAGGCTCGACGCGGACATGATCATGGCGACCCTGGGCGGCATCGGCGACAGGAAGGAGAAGGAGGAGAATCATCAGAAGCCTGGGGCGCTGCCAACAGTACCAGGCCATAACAGGAAGGAGAGGGAGGAGAAGAAGGACAAGCTTGTGGTGCTGCCTGAAGTGCCAGCTTTTCCGAAGAGGAGAAGCAGGAGGACACGATGGAGGTGCTGACCACAGTGCCAGAAGTTGCCCAGGAGATGGAGGAGAAGCAAGAAGACATCCTTAAGGCTCTCAAGATGGAGGGCCTGGTGGACTTCCCAGAATTGGTGCCGAAGGAGGAGAAGCAGGAGGGCAACCTGGAGGTTCTCAAGGTGGAGGGCCTGATGGACTTCCGTGATGCGGTGCTGAAGGAGGAGCTACAGGAGTAGGTCGAGGAGGCTGGCGCCACGATCCAGGAGTTCTTCAGCAGCATGCAGAAACATTTCGGGAGCGGCTCCGAGGAGTCGAACTTCGAGGCGGCACCTGGCGTAGCCCAGGTCACGTGAGCTGCGGAGGATTCATAGCCTTTCGGGGAGGCAACTTCGTGAATGCACGACGGCCCCCCCCCCCTGGTTTTGATTTCGGGCCCTGGGCCCATCTGCCGCCCCGTCGCGCATTCGGGAAGGGTTGCGACTCCCCCTGGGGTCGGGGCGGCGCGTCCGTCGAGCGTCGGCGAGGGCTTCTGTGACAGACAGCGGCCGCATAGTCAGTCCCTCAGTCCCTCCTCCTCCCCCTCCTCCTCCTCCTCTTCCTCCTCCTCCTCCTTCCCCTCCTCCTCCCCCTCCTCCCCCTTCAGTCTCGGTGGATCGCCGGCGCGACGGACTTTCCCGAGGGGGTCGGAGAGCAAAGCGCACCCAGTCGGGTCGGCGGCGCGCGCAATTGCGGGGAGGGGGCGAGGAAGTTGCCTTATCCCTTTCTTTTCTCCTGCGGTTGACAATGGCTTCTCCCCGCTCTTGCACGCTGGCCAACTCGCCTCTCCGTTTGCCCCCGCATCGCCGCTCGCTGGCGCGGATCGCGTCCGCCTCGCCGCCGACGAACCAGTTTTTGACGATGGCGGGTGTTGCTACCTCGCGTGAGCGGCTTGCCCCTGCCGCGCCGCTACGGAAAACAAATTGACGACGGCCAGACGTCGGGTGCCGTTGGCGCCCCAGCTGGTGATGCGCTGGGGCATTGTATCCCAAATCCCATATTGATCGACCACCTCCGTAAAAGACCGGACCTCCCTCCAAGTGCGACGCAATGTTCTGGACCCCCCCTCTTCGACGGGGCGCCTTCAAAAGCCGGACCCCCTTAAGTTCCAATCCAGAGAGAGCGCCCTAATAAACTGGACCACCCAGTTAAAAAAGGCGTTGCTTTGACTATTTTCATTTCATAGCCCAAGCTCCGCCTGCAGGGGGACACGCCCGACCTAGCGTTTGGCTCGTGGTGCGAACGGCACTCGCGCGAGCTACAGGACCAACGCCTAAACATGTTAAAGCTTGCGAGGTTGCTGCTTATAATATACATATATATATATATATATATATATATATCGTATTTAAAAATGTTTTAAACAAATGGAGGGGGGAGGCGAGGAAGGTCGCCTCCTGAAGAAGCCGAGGGGCTTGCTGGAAGGGCTCCGGGGGCTTCTAAGAGGGCCTTTTAGAGGCTGGCAGAGCTTCTTGGAACAACCTGCTTCTTTTCCAGGAGATATGTTCCCCCTCTCTGGGCCACAACGCGCGTTATGCCCCCCCCCCTCCCCCATAGTGCAACGCTCCCCCCAAGTGCGCCCCCATTACTGCCGCAGTGCGTCCGGCACCACAGTCTGTGGTGCCGGACCCACACGGTCGGAACATTTTCTGTGGGTGAAGGGCAAGGGCTGAAATCTGAAATGCCGTTTCGATGGATGTTCGAGGATTGAATCTGCAAGAGGTGAATCACAAGACGGATTGATTGTCGAGATTCAAAAGCCCATATGGGTTTCACCCTGAGCTCACCACCCTAAAGAAATGCTCAGACGGTGAGGGGTGGGCAGGGGGGGTCACGTTCTGCCCCCCCCGCCCCGCCCGTCCTCCCCCCCGTGCCCATAACGCCCGCGATCGACGCGAATCAAGAAATGGTCTCAAGCTCCGCGCGTGCACCCCCAAGAGAAAGTCGACACGAAGGAAAAGGGTCCCGAGGGAAACGGGGCCTAGACTGAAGTCAGGCCTGTCCTTCTACAGGAGGAATATTCAAAAATAGCCTAGAAATGGTCAGGGGAGTATTGTTTGACTTTTTTTGATTTTGAGAGTATGTCTTTGTATTCTTAATTCTGTCGCCCAAAATCCCCCTGTAGGGGGACAGGCCCGATCTAAGCCTAGACCCTTTTGGGGCCGCTCCCCAGAACCAGCTATTTCTGCCGAGTCGTTTCATACGGTCCCTTGGCCCTTGGAGGGCCCTCGGGCTGGGACCCGAAAGCGACGAAAAATGTCCAGGACCTTTTTTGTTTTCCCTCCACGCTAAGTACAGAACACACCTCCCTCAGTCTTACCTGCCTGACACACATGCCCATCCTTGTGATTGGCATCACCGCATCTTGGTGCCAATATTAAGGTTCCTTCCTATTCCTGTGGGCACATATCTAAGATTGAACTCGAAGTGGGCGTACCAATATTTCCAGGCCTCCCATTGGGTCCGATAGTATGAGATCGGAGGATCGCGCCGTATTGCCGATACTTTGTCGATGCGGCTCGATGTGGCGCCCGGTGTTCGTTCTCCACTGCAACGATGCCGATGCATCGCCAACGTCGCCAGTGCGTCGGTGGTGCATCGACGATGCGTCGGCGGTGCCGCGCGATCCTTCTATTGGGACCCTATTTGGGAGGCCTCTACTCTTGGGGACAGGGGTGAATGAACTCGACGCTGGTTACAGTCGTGGCTGGCCGGGGAAGTGCCCCGCGGGGAACACCCTCAGGCGGGCTTCGGCGGGTATGATTGTTGTTGGTGTCTGATTTTAGCTGTCTTGGAGGGTTTAGGTCGAATAAGCCGGGGATCCTGGGTAAGGCGAGCCCGTTAGTGATTGGGCCCCGATGCCCAACAAAAAAAACAAAAACATTATATCAGACCTGTCGTGGCTGACGTGTCTTCGGATGGCGGCAGTTATGGTCAGTGGAATGGGGCGGGGGTGGCGCGTTACCCCGGTACAGATCATTAAACCAGGTTCCATTGAACCCAGTCTTGCCAACCTCCGATCTGGGGGGGTTTGGACAAAAGGCGTCGCTTTCAGGGCTGGTCATTGGGGGTCTAAACTGGCTGTTTTGGAGGGTTATGACCCCATCCTCTTTTCATTCGGGGGCATCGTTAGAGGGAGATAAGCTCAGGGAGGAACGGATCGACCTACAATCTCCCATTGGTCACCGATAGGGGCAGGATAGCCCACCCTGCCAAGGAACGTGCAGACTCGCTATCGGGGGGCCATCGCCTATCTATCGTCGATGTATCGCCGAGTCAAGGTCGATGTGTCCCCCCCTGAGCCAGCCCAGCCCCCTGACACGGCCCCTCAATCATGAAATTCGTGGTCGGGCAATTACGTTGCATCTTCGGGGGGCCTCGTCTCCTCCCGAAATTGGTTTCTCTTGTGCCCGACGCGGTTTCGATGCGGATTCGTCGCCGATTTGACGTGGATTCGATGCGGATTCGACGAGTCCGACATGTATTCAACACGGATTCGACGCGGATGAGGGCGCGATGGGACAGGAACGGTCCCCCAAACATACAACAGAAGGACTTCCGAGAAGCCCCGCCGCCTTCTGAGAAGCCCCGCCACCTACTGAGAAGGCCCCCTCCTCCTCGCTTCCCCCCCGGGCTCGCCGCCTAAGAAGGGGGGCGCCGCCGGCGACGCTCGCAGGCGGGCTTCGGCGGGCAGACGAAGCCAGTGTTCCACAAGAAGGCGCGGGAGGAGGAGGAGGAGGAGGAGGAGGAGGAGGAGGAGGAGAAGGAGGAAGAGGAGGAGGAGGAGGAGGAGAAGGAGGAGAAGGAGGAGGAGGGGGAGGGGAGGAGGAGGGGAGGAGGGAGGAGGAGGAGGAGGAGGAGGAGGAGGAGGAGGAGGAGGAGGGAGGGACGCGCGGGAGGAGGAGGACGCGTGGAGGAGGATGCGTGGAGGAGGACGCGCGGAGGTCCTCCTGCTCCTCCTCCTCCTCCTCCTCCTCCTCCTCCTCCCCCTCCTCCTCCCTCGCTCGCTCTCCGCCTCGTCTTCTCCTCCGCCTCCGCCGTCGTCCGGCCTAGCGTCGATGGGCGGCGCGCCGTTTGGGAGGGCTTTCGGGTCCGAGTGGGTGGTCAGGGGAGGAGAGGCCACCTCGCCACGGCCGAAATCGCCCCGACATTCTGGGCAGAACGCGCCCTGGGGGAGTTCCAGGACGCAGCGGACGAATTTTCGTCAGCTCCTGGAGGACCCCCACCCTGCCAAGTCGACGAGTGAAGTGCCATATTTTCCCGCACAGCGTTTCGCTGGAGGGTTCCAATGAATGTTGAATTACCCGAGACGTACCTACCCCCTTCTGCACTTAATTACCCTGAACGCTCATACACATGAAGACACCGTCAAACATGCACGATCTGCGTTGCCCTCATCTCCGCCGTGACTCCCAAGAGCCCAAGAAAAGTGGCGACAATGGCACAGTTCGTAGCCTCCCAGGGAGCAGCGAGCTCTCGGCTGGATCCGCGTGGCTCACGACTCCGCTGGACCTCGCAGGAGCCCACGAAAGTTGCGACAATTGCACAATTCGCAACCACCCAGGCAGTTGCGAAGTCTCGGATATTCCGTTACCCCGCCGTGCCTCCCAGGAGCCCACGAAAATGGCGGCAGTTGCACAATTCGCAGCCATCCAAGGAGCTGCGAATACTCTGCTACTCCGCCGTGCCTCACAGGAGCCCACGAAAGTGGAGACCATTGCGCAATTCGCAGCCACCTTCACAGAGATTTCCCAGCGTCGGGTTGCTTCCCAGCAACTTCGCGTCGCCAAGAGCATTCTGGGGGCTACCCGGAGCGTCCAGAACGGCGGCTGGATTCTCGAGTTCTGGCCCGAAAAATGTTCACGAGGTGGTGAATTGTCCATCCTTGCCATGCGGGCGGACTGTACGGAGGCTGCCCGGAGCGTCCAGAACGGCGGCCGGACCCTCGAGTTCTGATCCACAAGCCCACGAGGTGGCCTCGCGAGGGGGCCCGCCTGCTATGAAAAGGCGGGCGGGGGGGGGTCCTACAGTCGGGGCGCTGAAGAAGGAACCTTTTTCGTTTGGGAGGGGCTCCGTGTTCCTTGGTTGTTTGACTGTTTGCCTTAGCTGGACCTTCGGTGTTCGACTGGAAATCGAAGTTAAACTTAAGGAGAAGAGGGGCTTCGTTCCTTATTTATCGTTCCTTAGGTCAACGCCCCGACTGTGCGCAGGCAGCGGGCTCTGGGAAGCCGCCCTGGCTGCTGAGCAGCCTTCTCGAGAGCCTCCGGGGCCCCGCGAAGGAGGCTGCCGCGCTGTCCGAGAAGCCGCCCCCCGCTGATTTTTGTTCCGCCGGGCTCACCGCACGGTGTGGCCACCGCTAGGACGAGAAAGATGTCATGATTACACGCTGGTCATTGAAAGTAGGTATTTTTGGATTTCTTCCAAATCCCAATCTACTTCAAGCGCCTTCCTACTTCAAGAAACGACACGCTTTTGCTGTGTTATGTTATTCTCTGGGGGGGCCTGGACCCAATCCACTTTATCCGCCTTCCTACTTCATGTTTTTACCTACTTCTTCCGACCGACGTGTAGAGGGCAGAAGATCCGCCCCCGTAATTATCACCCCGACGCGCGAAGCCGTTTAGTAAACGCATGCGCAGGAGGAATAGAGCAGGGCAGAGCTGTTCAAAAACGCCCGAGGCCGTGAAGTACACGCCAATTATCGGGTCCGGGCGGTTCTTCCTCCCTTGAGTGAGAGGATTGGCTCAGGATGCGTTCCAGGATTTTCAGAGATACTGGCGGCCCTCGTTTCTGCAAGCCCGTGTGGAACATTAGGACGCCTGAGAAATCATGGACATCTTGGTGACATTGGAACGTGTCATCATTGCTCCAGACACTAGTCCAGAGCATCATTGCCACGCCATGCAGCGCATGACTGCGAACACATTGCCGTACGTTTTTCTGCACTCGTGCATGCATGCATGTTTGTTGCGCCATCCGTAGCCGCCGAGGCTCGAATCCAGAAGTTATCCGAAATTATCTAGACTCTAGAGCAGGGCAGAAGAAACAATTGCGCAATCACCGCTTGAGAGATCTCTTGTGCTCCATTGGGCCCTCTTGCTCTCCTGAACCGCACCGCCTGGGGTCCTCGATTCTGCCAGCCGGCAGCCCGTGCAGAGCATTAGGAGGAGGAGGAGGAGGAGGAGGAGGAGCAGGAGGAGGAGGAGGAGGAGCAGGAGGAGCAGGAGGCGGAGGAGCAGGAGAAGGAGGAGGAGGAGGAAGAGGAGGAGGAGGAGAAGACCCGACAGATCCTGGAAATCTGGGAGACCTTGTAGCGTTTCATCATCGTTGCCCCTTGTTTTTCCCTACCTAGGCTCTGCCTAGAAGGGTTCTTACCCTGTATCTTAAAGGGGCCGGGCAGTGGAACCCGCCCCGGGCGGTTCCCCCGGCATCCGCCCCGCGATTCCCCCAGTTACGTCTCCTTAGCTTAGCGTTGCTTATCTCATCTTATCTTAGTTTAGTTCGTCTTAGCTTAGCTTAGCTTCATCTTAGCTCAGGTTTATCTTAGTTTAGCTGACCTTCATCTTAGCGTCGCTGAGCTTTAGCATAGCAGAGCAAAGCATAGCATAGCATAGCGTATCATAGCATAGCGCAGCACAGCATATCATAGCATAGCCCAGCATATCATAGCATAGCGCAGCATAGCATAGCATAGCGTAGCACAGCACAGCATAGCACAGCGCAGCATAGTTTAGCATAGCATAGCGCAGCATCGCATAGCATAGCATAGCATAGCATAGCATAGCGCAGCTTAGCATATCATATCATAGCATAGCATAGTATAGTTTACCATTTCATAACATCGCATAACATAGCATAGCATGGCATAGCGCAGCATAGCATCGCATAGCATATCATAGCATAGCGTAGCATAGCGCAGCATAGCATGGCATAGTGTAGCATAGCATAGCATAGCAACTACTGCTGCTTCCCTAGGGGCTCCAACTTCTAGGTAGGGTCGCACTGGGGTAATCCCTTTTTATTCAAAAGTGCACCACCCGGCCCCGCCGACGACGCGCGCCTGCCGCACCGCCAGAGATCGACCGAACCACCGCAGGTCGGCCGAGGCGGGCTGCACCGCTGGCGCGGGGTGGGCGCGCGCCCGCGCCTGGAAGGAGGCGGAGGAGGAGGAGGGCGAGGAGGAGGAGGAGGAGGAGGAGGAGGAGGAGGAGCGAGGAGGAGCGAGGATCAAAGAGTAGGAGGAGGAGGAGGAGGAGGAGGAGGAAGAGGAGGAGGAGTAGGAGGAGGAGGAGGTGTTAACATGTAAGCATGCGTGTGACAGGGGAGGAATAGTAACCCTGCTGCCTTTGGCTCAAGTGTTTAACGGTCGAAGCTACATAGACCTGCTTTGCCGTTCGGGAGTATAAAGGTGACCTATCGTTATCATTGTCGCCAAGCTCCCGTGCAGAACCCTCCTCGGGGTTTTGCATGGTAGCGGAGCGCGGTTGCCATGGCAGCGGCAGCGGCGGCTGCGGCCAGACCTGGACAGGGCGACCCGCCAGTTAATCTCAATGTGCCGGCAGACGGAGATGCATGGGTTAACATGGACCCGGATCGATTCAACGATCTGTGCGAGCAAGCATACATGAACGGAGAGTTCAGTTACGTCCAGACGGCGCTACTCGCGAACCACTTCGGACTCGCAACGTTCATTAACGAGCGAGTAACACAGGATCGAAGGGAGGTATCGAACGCCGAAGCATTCCAAATGTTACAGAGTGCCCACAAGACCAACAGTATGCTGTTAGCGATCACAAAGAGAAACGCTGCACTCGAAAGGGACGCTCGTAGATTGGTGGAAAGAGTCACCAAGTTGGAGACCAACAGTGAAGTACAAGAAAAGTTGATCGAAAGGTTTGGTCACATCTCGGAAGCAATTAAAGGAGGAAGCGGAAACAAGCACGGGAGCAGTAAACCGATAAGCGAATATAAAGCATTACAGGCGCTAAAGAACTTCAGTGGGGAAAGAGCAAAGTTCAGAGACTGGAACGACAAATTCTTGAACGCACTAGCCCAAGTGAAGCCGAGTTACCGACCGGCACTGAAAATGCTAAACAAGAAGCTGGAGACGCTTGACGGAGTCGTACCAGAGGAGGACGATGACGACATCATACGCATAATGAACGGTCGATTAACTGCAAGTGAGTACCTGAAGGCAAGTCAAGCCAAACAAGCCGAGGGCGACAACAAAGGCGAATATGAGTTTACCGAGGGAGACAAAACTCCGATGGAAGAAGACTTATGGTACATTCTAAACGAGAAACTTGAAGGTGCGGAGGCCAGAGGAAAATTAAAGGGACTGATGGATGGAGATGGAATCATGGCTTGGCAAAAGGTTTACAAATGGTACTCGGCGGTAACCGGAGCGACCTTATCATCAAAAATGACGCATGCCATGAATCCTGAACCGCCCAAGAAGATCACTGACACTGTTACCCGACTTGAGGAATGGAGCGCATTGGCAGAAAACCTTGAGAAATATGGCAAAGATTACTCGCTGCCTCTTCCTTTCAAAGTCACCGCGCTCAGGGCCATAATGGTGCACGCGAATGACTGGTTTGACGAATGGCAGCAGGCATGTTGGCGAACGCCTGACGCGCTTAACATTAACTCGTTTCAGAAATTGTACTCAAAGTGCGAAGACTGGGCGCGTAAAAAGAAACTTGACTCAGATACGAA